CGGGGTTGCTCAAAGTTGAGGCTCGTACTTACAAGCTCTACAATTTCACATTGCTGCGGCTTTAACTCTACTGTAGTTCCAAGAAGTACATGTAGAGCAACCCCAACGTCGGTCCCTGCTGCTTCCCGCGACCCCAAATTCATCTCGCTGCTACACCAACCACCCCCATCGCCCCAGCATTCGCCTCGCGCGATTTGAAGATTCGACTGGGACTAACTGAAACATACTGAAACCACTGGACTCACAAGACATGGTAGCGGCCCTTCAGAGGTTCACCAGGATCGGTGCTTGCCGCGCATGCGACGGTAGGGCGAAGCCATCGGTGCGCCACCGTTCTGGCCAGTGTCCCTGTAATGCCTCCGCAGGCGCCGGAAGTTCCCTCGCGGAAAGCTCAAGGTCGGCGTCACCTCTCTGAAGGGATGAGGCTCCGCGGCCACTGCCTGCAGGCGCACCTTCTCTTTGAGAATGGGTTCGCCTCCAGGCTCGTGAGCCGAGCCGGCTTCGCCAGGGAAGCGCATGCGGCGAAGCTTCCTCTTGGGCCGCTGGTTCTCAGGGATGACTGGGCAACAGCGTGTGTCGTAAGTCTGGCGAGTCTTGTCTGACCACTTCTGCAGGAATTGTGACCGGAAGTTGACGATGTCCTTCTTGGTTTTACCTTGCATCACCTGGTAGCACATTGCGACTGCCAGCCTCTTCGCGCGATCCAGGTCATGGTTCGTCTGGTGCCAGGTCACTTGGCTTGCCACACCCGAATGGCAAAAGAAAAACCTAAGGGTGACGCGCCAGTTGTTCACCTTTGTCCACGCTTCGTGGTCAAAGGGCGGCAAAAAGGAGGCAAGGCCGTCGTCTCCGCGGGCATCGGATGCATCCCCAGCTTTCGCAGGAGCATTCGAAGATAAAGCTGTCGAGGGTGAGCCTGGCGCTTGCGACGGCGGCTCCGACTCCGCTTCCCTCCGCTTCCTCTCGCAGAGTGACGTTGAAGCTTTGTCGTCGCCACTGCTGTCGCCGTGCGGAAGTAGGCTCTTCTCCCATACATAGTGCTTCTTTTCTTCGTCCAGCTTGGTCTTTGTTTGGATGGCTTCTGGTTGGACTTCCTCAGCGATGGCTAGGCCTTCCGCGCCGACCGCTTTGAAGCTTATGGCTGCAGGCGTGGTGCTTTTCTCGCCAGCCACATCGGGATGGGCACCCGGTTGCTCCATCTGCTCCCTCATTGTCCCGGCCATTTCCGGCAGCTGCTGCACCCAAGCCGAAGGCACTGTGGTTGTCTGCCCCAGCATGTTCTGCAGCAGCTTCTCCACAGAAGGCGTGGAAATCTCCAGTGCCTCCATCGGGACTCGCGTGCTCAGCTGCATGGCATCCTCCCGGGGAACTGCCTCTCGATTTGGGACCACAGCATCGACGTGCGTTCTCAGCGTCTCGCCTTCGGCAGGGGCGCTGCTGGGCTTCTCTTCCTTCATCTCCTCTTCCGGGAAGTGCTCGTCATCGCCAGAAGTAACACTCACGTCCATGAGCCTCTCGAAGATGTCGTCGCTGCCTTGAGCATCTCCGAGGTCCTCGTTGGTCAACGGCGCGCATGGCTGCCGCTTCTGATCCTTCTTTTCCTTCTTTTGTTTCTTTGCCTTTCTGTGCTTTGTCCGGGTCTTCTTCCTGGCCTTGATACCAGATTCTTGCTGCTTGTCGCGAGCCGCCTGCTTTCCCACCTCTGCATCATGTTGCCGCGGCTGCGTAGGCGGAAGGGGGGCCCGTATGCTCTCCTGGCAACCGGTCGACTCAGCCAAGAGCGCCACAGGATCGCAGGAGCCAGGGTCGTCTTTGGCTTCTGCATCATCCGGTGTGGACAGCTTCGCCACCTTCCGCACTTCTCCTTCCACCTGCGACGCCCGTCGCTTCTGCATGAACTTTCTCTGACGCTGCATCTGATACATCTTGTCTCGAAGCTGCTGCTCCTCCTCGAGCCGGCGCTCAACATCTGTCTCATCCGCTGCCCCATAGGTCAGCATCGCTACAACATTGCTCTTCGGCTCGTTCTTGTCCGGCTTTGCTTCGGTCAAGAAGGAGTTTCGGGCTTGAGCAGCGCTCCTCATCGAGCCGACGAGATCCGTCAGAGCTTCAACCTCCACACCTGGTTCTTCCGATGCTCCGGCAATCATCTCTCTGACCACGTCGCGGGCGAAGAGCAACGCTTGCTCTTCCTGGGCTGTGGCTGCCAGTGGCTGCAGAAGCACCGAGCTGCTGGTGTCCAGCGGTGTACCTGCCGCTCCGGGCGGCAGACCGGGAAATGCCATTAGGTTGACCTCGTGGACTAATCTCATCGTCTTGTTGGCCAGGACATTCTCGGCACCTGGCTCAGTGTACACAGCCCAGTACCAACGTCCGGGCACTTCTGCCGTCGCGCCACCTGTCCAGGGATGGCCTTGCGGCCCACAGCTGCAAGGCCAACCATCCAGCGCAGGATCTTCGCCGACGAACACGGCCTTCTCCCCTGGAGCGGGAGCTCGGCTTGGCAACGGCAAGAGGCACGTGAAGGGCAGGCTGATGACATTCAGGTTCCGAAGGTCACGCAAACGCGCGAAGTCTGCATTGCTCGCGGATACCCCGAGGTAGGTGCAGACGAGCTCCGTCCCAGTGACGCAAACCAGAGATCCTGGGCGCATTTCTTGGAGCTCTTCCGTAGGATCGTCGCAGAGCCATGGATCTGTGGTATCGTAGCCATGCTCCTCTCGGACGTAGCCGTAGGTCTTCAGCCGATCCTCCTGTGACACTGTGGTGGCCAAAAGCTCTCGGCATTTCGAGCTTACCGAAGCAAGGACCTTGAGCTGGTCCAGCTGCTTGGCAGCGTCGACCTGATCCTCCGGCTGCCGCAAGGCCAGGCAATCCATGGAGAGCTCCCGAGCACTCGGAATCTCTCGGAATTCGGCGTTTAGAGGTTTAGGGTTGAGGGTTGAGGGCTTAGGGTTTAAGGAGGGTTTGGAGTGTAGGGTATCGAGCGAAAAAAAGTTTGAGCTCGGAGTCTGAGTTGTGACACGTCGCTTTCGGCGCTCACACTGGGACACTCTAGGCGAGTCACTTCTCAGCAGACATGTCAGGGTTTGGCGCTGCTTTTGGGGAGTTGTGTGCGCCCTCACCCGGCCTGCTCAAAGTAGCCCTGATCCCAATGCGGCGGCCCCATCAGCACTCGTATGCAGGATGAGACGTTCTGCCGGCATGCAGGAGAAATCCAGTAACCTTCTAATTCGCGGCTGCACCAGGGAAACTGTTCAGGAGTGCCTTGGTTCCATGCACCCATGGCATTCGCTGCCACATCCCTCAAACCCCAAACCCTAGGAGGCCCGAGGAGGCCCTAGGACTGCCCTACACCCGTGGAAGTCAAGCGGCAAGACGGAAAGTCAGAGCCGAGGACTCTCCGCAGATCATCTTGGTCTGTTCCGGAGAAGCCCATTGCTTGTGCTCTGTCAGACTGAAGGTAGAACTTCCACCAATCTGCAAACCGATGATCGTTGGCCGTGCTCTTCGAGATGTACAGGCCTGGCCAAACCGATCGCAAACGCATGCTGCATCGATATCAGCACATGATTGCCCATGATTGCACACAGACCTCGCGCCTGAACGCCCACTGTACCCAATCGGCGAAAACGGTTCGGAGTTTGCAGTGAGCTCGTCCTGGAGCCCTTGTGGCTGTATAAGGACCCAGTTTTCCAGGTCGACATCCCATGCGCCTGCAAAGCCGGCGGGAAGAATGCACCAAACTCAGGTGAACTGTTCACACATGGGCTGCCTTTGCGCAGGCTGTCTAGTGCTGCTTGATGAACGTTGACATCTTGTGAAAAAGGCCTCGGTTCAGCCGCAAGTCAGAACCTCCCCCCCGACCCATTCACGGCGAGGCACTCGGTCAGACGCACGAGCTCCACCCGGTAGCCCAACCATTCCTTCAGAATGAAGGCCGCCACTGTGGAAACGAGCTCATGGGAAGTCCAATCCTCACAACCAATGATGTGGCACGGACTCAAGAGGCGGCGCCAAGCAACCCCATAACCATTCGTCCGAGTCTTAATGCGAAGACAGACGACCATGTGATCCAGGTGCGCGACAAGCAGCGCTCTGGGCCGTACCGTATCGGGGTCGGGACTTGGGTTCTTCCGTCGCCTATTGCTCCTACCGAGCGATCGTAGGAACCGACCATCCGGCCGACGATGTGCGAACTCACTACAAGTCAACCTCCGCAGCGACAGTAGAATAGACTGAAGCATACTGGTCCACCATGCCAGAAGATGACACACACACACACACACTTTGCCTGAACACAGTGCGCATTGCCTGCAGCGAAGCGTCTTGCACGAGAACTCGTATTGTCGTGCTCGACCGATCCTTAGAAAAACAGTCTTGACACTATGCCACTACGAGGCGAAGGGATTGCTCTTCAAGAAACAGTCATCTCGTGAAAACGAGCATCTACGGAACCAGCTTCGCCAGAAGAGAAGCACCTCAGTCGTCGAGCTCTGGCACAAGCAACGTGTCGGAGGCACATGCTGCCGGGCTACTGAGCTTCGAATTCCTGGACGGCCACGTCGGCGCGGGCCGTGAAACCGAAACTCAGGATGCCTGCACCGGGGACGAGCCAGGGTCTATTCAGCCTGCAGAGGCTTAGACCTTCAAGTGCTATATATATATATATATATATATACATATATATATTAATATATATTCATATATTAATATATATCAATATATTAATATATATTAATATATTAATATATATTAATATATATATATATATATATATAGCACTTGAAGCTCTCGGGACTCTCACAGCTCCGCTTAGCTGCGCTCTCCTATGCACTGGCGGCCTAATGTGCTCCAGGCACAGATGCGGCGAAGAGTCTGCATCCATTAACAGAACTGAAGTTTCTTGAAGTTGCACTCACTGTGATCTCACGTTCTGCCTCTTGCTAAGCCAACCTTTGAACGTACAGAACCACTCGTCCGTGCATGTGCATGTGTGATCATGTGCATGAATGGCACGCAACTGCATCGGCGAGTTCCACAGTCTCGAACCAAAAACACTGCAGCATCCACAGAGCGACCTCGGACGAACCTCGGGCGTTCTACGGCCTGGCTTCCCTATTCGAGGCTGTCCTGACTGACATCAAATGGAGAACGGTGAACTTTGGGCTGGGAGCCTGGTCGTACACAGCTTTGGTGTAGACCATGGACGGCCTACACACGAGGCCAATGAACCTCAGTACTACTCCGTCTACCGCGTATTGAAAACGAAGCAAAGGAAAAACAAAGAGATGAATGTCAATACTATCTAAGGACAGATGTCACCCAAGATCACCTCAGTTCCACACGGTTGGGTTGGATAGTCCTGCACCTGGCACTGTCGGAGAGCAGAAAAAGCCCTTTAAGACTCTAAGGTACGGACTCGGAGTTTTTCACGTAATCCGGCAGGCATGCCCACGCATAGCTTTCGTGAATTGGCAGCCAACACCTCAGCGAATCCACGCGTCACTGTTTTCACACCACTGCCCTCTGTCCTGTCAAAGTGCTGGGAACAAGCAGCCCGGCCGTGGCACTGTGCTTCGGACCGGCTGCTTGTGTTGTATGTGCCCGGACAAATCCTTGGAGAGCCACGCGGAGCATAGGATTTCATCAACACCTAGTCTTGGTGCAATCATCTTGGCTGCTGCGGCGCGGCTGGCGCGGCTACTACTACTACTACTACTACTACTACTACTACAACTACCACTACTACCACCACCACCACCACCACCACCACGACTACTACTACTGCTACGGCCCGTTGATCAGCTCTGTTAAACCTAGCCACGACTTCCTTCAACCAAGTATGGATGCTTCAATGTATGCTAACATGGCTTTATGCCTGCAGCATTCACGAAGAAAAGGCCAGTCTCGAGTGTTCCTGCATCTGTGGCAACTAGCGCCAGATTCGAACCTCCGAGGCCCGTGGTTGTCACAAAAGCCTTGGTGAAGAAGCGCGGTTATAGCCATGGCTGTATCATGCATTCTGGCGTCTAGAGGAAATAATTTCGCGACAAGAAAAGATGATTATAATGGCGGCAGCCGTTTGTGGTGGTGCTGGTGCTGGTGCTGCGGGTGTGGCTGCCGCTGCTGCTGCCGTTGCTGCTGCGCTGGTGGTGCTGGTGCTGGTGCTGGTTCCGGTGTTGCTGCTGCCGCTGTACTGTGACAGGTTACTGCAAGTTTGATCCCATAGCTTGCAGCTTCTGCTACCTCGACATGGTCCCGAACCCCAACCCCCGAACTTGAAACACGGCCGCAGCACCCCGTCTCCAAGCTAGGCCGCTAGGCTCCAGGCCCAACGCAGATGGGATTTGCCATGTCCAACCTGCGGCTGGCGGCCCATAAAAGCTGGTCTCTCTGCCCCAGGAAGGTGCTCTGCTGCTTTGCATACAGTGCAGACGATGTAGCAAACCTCGGGCCTATCGTCAAGGACTGCTTGAACTTATCACCCTGCTGAGAAGAAAGCCTCTTCTGATTGCCCTCCATGATGTGCTGGCTGTCCTGGAGAGGGCAGTTTTGCAGTCCAGCCTTTCGACGGTCGTGGCGACTCTCGACTCCGAACCCTCCGATCCGACCGACGATATTGGCCGAAGCCTCAGCATATGAGGGTTTCCGAAAATAGGGGACCCTAATATAGTACCCCAAATAATAGGATCCTTATTATAAGGACCCCAAAATTACCCCGTATTTTCGGAAACTCCCATATGTTATCGTGCAGCATCGCTTCCCTGCGAGCCGAGCCGCGGAGGGCCGAGTACGACACAGCCTCCGTTATGGCGAAGAAGCCCACGAGACTTGTCGTTCGGCTGTTGGACCCCATGGGAGGCAATGAGCTAGTCATGTCCGACAAAAGCGGAAGATAGCGGAAGCAATTAGCATCAACCCTCAACAGGCCGTAGCACGAGAGATCCCGAGCCCGATCGGAAAGACGTGGCTGCCTTCTGCATGCAGAAGTAGAGGAATGGCTTGCCCTGCATGACATGTGCGGGCTATCCATCACCCCTTGTTTCGGAAACGTGCGAATACATGCAGGCTTGCACAGGCATTCGAAAGACATTGCGGCGCACCCGATTTAACCCGCTGCCGCAGAGGTTGCCGTGCAAGTCAGGCAACGACCTCGGGCACAGCACCACCGACCACAAGTTGATGCTGAAACTCTGTGCCTCAGAATCTTGTACTTGCAGAATGCTCCTGCCAGCTACAGTCAGAAAGCTCCCTGCAAAATGTTGTCAAGGTTGCCCTTCTGGACAGCCTGGGCAGAGGTATTCCCAAGTGGCGGCAGGTATGAACCATCTGCTGCTGCTCTAGGAGGCAGGCATACCAAACAGCATAAGCAGCCACCGCGGCACAAACCAGGAAAGGCAGGATCCACAGGGGATCTGTACACCTGGCTTGCTTCAACCCCACAGCTGGCTCTTCTCTGGCGACAGATCAAGCTTCTGGCGACACGTACATGTGCTGTTCTGCAAGAACTCGCTTCGAAGGTCTCTGCCCCATGAGGAGAGACATCGACACTGCGTGCTGGCCTGCTTCGCAAGGCCGTCACGCCTTTCGGGCAGATGCCCCAGCCTGAAGTCCTAACATCTTGGGACGCGGCCGCTGCGCATAAATCGGTCCGATTGCTGCTTGGCAGCTCACCGACTCAGGGACCAAGCTTTCCTCCCAGCCCCTCCGGGGCGAGTCATTATCCTACGAGGCCGAAGCCCTCAGCAAAGCAGGAAACGAGATCAAAGCCCTCAAACAAACCACAAGAGCATTAAATTAGTTCATGCGTTGGGTGAAGGCGCCTGATTCAAGCTTCTGCCAGAGCTTCGATCCATGCGTCCACTCGTAATTACCACTAGCGCATTAATTGGCCAAGCACTTGCGGGACTCCTTGAGTACTACTTGCCAGATGGCGTCAAGAAGCTGGCCACCTCACGAAGCAGATTCGATCAAGGACGTGCCTCTTTATCTCAGTCCGCAATGAACCCCCTTACGAGTGAAGTAGTGGAACACCCTGAAGTTGCAGATAAAACCCACATATTTTGCCCGTGCTTAAGGGCCGTGGGGCTTTGCTGTGCTTTGCTTAGAAAGACTCAACATGGGTCCTGCATAGAAGAGGCTGGAGGAACAGGAAGTGGGGCTTCTGTTTCAGATCCACTCAAGAGTCCTTGTCATAAGGATCCACCCCGGAGATTTCACTAAGGTCTCTTCGGAGGCCGAACCACCCCATCGCGCTCAAAGGGGACTAGGATCCTGCACTGGCGGTTAAAAGGGCTCCTACCAGGTGGATTCCAGGAAACCTGCTTGGTGAGCGATCTCTTTTGGGCCCTTAATCCGTTCAATTCTCTTCACTGGCTGTGCTCTGGAATTCCGCCCGTGTTGCACTGGAACCCGGATCCACTAACGGAGCGCATGTTTCATTTCTCGTCACTGTCACTGGATTGCAAAAGACTTCTTCAAATCCTGCGACCGAGTGGCACCGTTGGCCCTGCACGCGATAAGCTGGCTTGCCATCACCTCCGCAGAAAGAGGGGGCTGCGGCGAGGGCTGCTTCACAGCCGCAGCGTGTCAGGACACTTTGGGACATATGTGCGATAGCACCCACGGCACCACAAGGTCGAGCGGACGTGGACCGGTGCACGTGTGATTCTACACAGCACGTCCGAGGAAGCCGCCTCCACCAGCACCGTAGCGCTCAAGTTCACAGAGGGGAATGCTGCAGACACGAAAGCTTTCGTCTCTTCTCTGGGAGGTTGCCTGGTCGGACATGGCAACCGCAATCTCCCACAAGGAGAGAACAAAGAAAAATGCTTCTTCCGAGCAGCTTCCGGATCGTCTCACCCTTCTCGCCCTTGAAGGATTTCACAGCATTCTGCCACAAGCTCTCTGCCAAGGGATGGAGCACTTCAAGCCTGGAGCAGCCACACCCAAGCTTTGGCAAGGGATGCCCTCGTCACGTCACACTACGTCCAACTACTTGTATGATGCAATACGTCACGTCCCGCACGATTCCAACGTGTAGAACGACGTGACAGTCTTACCTGCGTTTCGATCGGTTGTCTGCGCGCCTCTCAGCTAAGACTCCGAAGAGCCCAGAGCACAAGATAACACAAGTGAAAACTTCAGCACCCGCCTGCCTTCCGTCTGCAGCATGGACATATGGCCTCGGTCTTCCAACGTCATGGCTCCTGACTCAATTGCTCGCTTGCTCAAAATTGTAGCTAAGCCTCTTCTCCGTCTCGTCGGCGGAAGAAATAATGTACTGCACCCACAGGCATAGAAGCTGAACAATCGGCTTGATGGTTGGCGTGTCCATCGGCGGTAGGCCAGGAATAATGCTCATGCCTTAATGAACTCTTGCTTTGCTGACTAGAATCTAAAGTAGCTACACCTTCAAAAGGCGACGCGACTGTGCACTTTGTGAGCCCCGGCTGCAAAAGCTGCAAATGTTCTGGCATCCCTCCTCCGCAAGAGTGAGAAGCTCTTCGTCACTCTGCGCGAGTCGCTGAAAAATCTCAGCCTGCCAGTAGAACTGTTTCTGAAGCCGGGAGCGACGCTCCCCTACCATGTCTTCCGATCGGAGATGAACAACGTAACGAAACGATGCTAGATAAGATCCATTGTACTACTCGGCCTCCCCTCCCCTGCCCTCCCCTCCCGATGACCCTCCCCCTCCCCCAGCCTCCGCCAGCAATACCATACTCTGCTCATGCTGCTTCGTGTTATGGTGGTGGCGGTGGCGGCGGTGGTGGCGGCGGTGTGCTGGTGGGTGGCGTCGTCGCAGGTGGCGGCAGCAGCAGACGCAAAAATCTCAGATACGGTACATGTCGGTACAAGTGGCAGGTGGCACTGGCTAGTTTGCAGCTCGACATGAAGTCCAAACAATGCTCTTGACTTGCATACGACTTGCTACATCCGATTAGGGAGGCCACGGGTATGCGCTTGCATGAGTGTGGCGAGGCAAAACAATCGCCTGGTAGGCTTGCCCATCCGCTTGGTCGGAAGGGGCCACCGCATGCGCCAGAACCACCTTTGCAAATGATCGCACATGACCGCCAATGAAACATGTTAAAATCCCTAAGCCAGAAACCTATCCATGTAAACATCATTGCCGGCTCGGTGGCTGCCCAGTATCTCTTCACGAACTCGACAATCACCGGCTCCTCAATTGCTTCATTGATTCGTCGGTAGCCCAACAAGATCCCGGCGTAGGTGATCAGCTGCCGAGCGCCTGACGGGTCTGAGGAGGACCCGTAAAACTGGGGCGCACTGCATGCCTTGTCTACCTTCCTCCTGATGATCAGAAGGGCTTGAATCACCCGATGCCTTCGAAGACCTTGAGGTGCAAGTCCGAAAAAGGCTGAGCGTCTTCGACGAAGACGCAGGCATCTCCAAGCACCGATTCCCAGGCAGGCCGACCGCTCGGAAATTGGTCCTCGAAGGCACCAAAACAAAAAATCAGCACTTTCAATCTCGGTTCAAGCCCTGTTTTTACCGGTGAGAAGCTCATCGTGGCTTGACCTTTTGCTGCTGAACAAGTACTTCCACGTGCTTCGGCGGTGTCACACTATCTTTGACGCCAAGCTCTTTTCTCGAACGCACAATTCCCAGATGCCCAGCGCTACCACCCCAAGACCACTTCAACTTTAGGATTTCGACTCTCACTCTCGCAAAAGGCAGTCAAGGCTCCAGTTTAGGACTTAGGGAGTTTAGGGAAGTTTAGGGCTTGGGGCAGCACTGCCTCCACAACCCATCGCACGAAGTCTTCGCAGGCAACCGGCCCTTTGTCGGCCACCCCGGATGCTCGGTGAAGGTCCTGACATCTGGACTACGGACTGTGGGGAGGTCGGTGCATCCCGAGAAAAAGACTAAGTTCAGTCCGTCTTGCCGCATCTCTGCAAGTCCGCAACTCAGCGCATGGAACAAAATACGAGCAGGAACAAAAGCTGCAAGGTCCTGCAGTACGGTGGGCGTCAATCTGTACACGATGCGATCACCTCGCGATACAACTTGAACTTTATGTTGCCGCATGCTCCACCGAGCAAAAGCTATTGGCATGAGAAAGCACCCTTCTACGATCTATACTCTATACCATTGAATGATGCAGTAAGGCTACAGACCGAGCTGGGAAATCGCCACTTTTCCTGGATATACCTCGCACACAAAGCACGTGACAAGAAATTCCGAGCGCCACTTCATCAACCTCGCTCATATTCACCCAGGTCACTGCATGAGCTCGTCACCACCGGTCTGCTGTGCCAGTGAAGCTACCGCAGAAGCGCAACGCTCCCCATTCCGCGGCACTGCATCACAGCTGAGCCTTAGGTTACACACAGCTGCAAGTATGACTACTGACTACCTGTGCCCAAGGCGCAGAACGTGCAGGCTGTCCGAGGTGCACAGCCACAGGTGGAGCATCACGCTTCTTGCGCAACGCTGCAGCTGCGACCAGATAGGCAGCGGCTGTCTTCAGCGGCACCGTCGATGACAGCGACTCCGCGTCAGTGCACGCGAGTATGCCTGTAGTGCTCATGCAACTTGGTCTCAAATGTCTCAGTAATGGCATAGTCAGAGCCCGCCTAGTTTTACTCGTAGAAAGAAACATACTGCATTTTCATCAAGGTTCTCCTAAGGGCTCCCAGGTCCGATTGGATATCTTCCGACGAGTCATCCAAAGCTCCGGCATCATCCAGGGAATCGCTTTTTCTAAAGCATATGCTGATGATCTTGGTGCTGTCTGCTTGGAGCCTTCGTTCCACGCAAGTGGCGCACAGCAAGGGAGGCGCGCAAAAGTCGCAAGAGCCTGCACGGAATTGCCGACAAGATGCCGATCAAGTATCGCAGCATGGTGCCCCGGTGCAGACAGATGTTCGCAGTAAGCCCCGATGATGCGTGCCATCGGCTCCTGCGCCGAAAAGCAGCCGAAGCAACAGTAGCAGGCAAGGACGCGCACACACGGAGTCATTCGAGCTGCGCATGCAGGCCGCTCCTGCGCATTTCGGGTGCACAGGACATACATGCCGCTCTGCTCCTCCATCCTGGCTTAGACGAGAAAGGGACTCCTGCAAGTGCCTTGTAATAGTATATAATATTATATTATATTGTAATATTATATGCCAAGAGACGCATGATGGAGGTGCTGATCCTCGGCGAAACTGACTCCTGAAATGCCCCAGGACAGGCAGTCCACCTGCCGATGGACGACATCTAAACCCTTCGCTCTCGCATGCAACGGTATCTCAGCACACCAGCCTGTCCAGATGCTAGAAACTCATCAATGAAGTGGGCTTGGTGAGCGCGGTGGAACTCTGTAAGGCCAATGTGGACAATCCCTGGCGTGACTGCCTGGCACACAACTCTCCCTCGTTGCAAATTGTAGTATACTATATAATATGATGGAATATTATTCTATATGATAATATCAGGACTATCTGAAGACCCTGCAACGAAGGCTCTTGGCCTGCCGGTCATATGATGGACCATGGACCAACCCACCCCATGGTGGGCAGTGCCAGTTTAGCGTTTCCACGGACAAGGACACTGCCATGGCTAGTGGCGGGAATCTACCATGGCATGACAGCTACGGAACATATGCTGCAAGAGCGCTGAGCGCATAAGGCTGGCAATGCCTTCCCTCGGGTTCAACAGTTGATTGGGCTTATGAGCGACTGGAGGGTCAATGGCCTCTCTTGCTTTGACTGCTGGCGGCCGCTCTCAACATGATCCAACAGCTGCGGAATCTGATATGACACAATTCGGCACATGTTCCGGCCGTGAAGCAGCAGAAATGATGACTGGATGCCGAACCTACTGTGCGCAACATCGCTACCCACAACGAAGGCCAGCCCACCCTCGGGGTACTGTCGACGGTTCGTATCCTCGATCCTGCCAGGTCGAGACAGGGCTTGCTGGTAGCATGAACTCGGTGGCAATGGCAAGTCGGATCTCGTAAGCTTGTCTACCTGCCTCCCTACCTACCTACCTACCTTACCTACCTACCTACCTACCTACCTACCTACCTACCTACCTACCATGCATAGTGTGAACGTGTGTGGATGTATTTTATTGCCTGTGCTGGTATTTTGATTATTCGCTGCGTATCATGCTCAGATATGCTCAGCCTAAGCAGGTCCTTGCATCAACTGCTCTGGTTGTTGGGTTGGCGCGAACAAATCGCTTAGATGCCAATTGTCAAGAATTGGTTCTGCGACTCCGGAATCTGACATGGAGGAACATACGCGTTCCAAGTCTACAGTCTGAAGTACTCCTGGCGCAATCCTTTGACACATTGCACGATTCGCAGATGGTGACGGAAGCAATCCAGCTTCAACTTTGCGGGCAATTTCGTGTGGAATTTCGCGTGCCAGCTCGTTCGACCTGTCGGTGGCGCATCCAACTTCCACTGGATGCATGGCTGGAATGCAGGAGTCAAGCAGTTCTGAATGGGTCAGATCGTCGCTTTCGGTCGGGTCAAGGAGAGAAAAACTGGGAGTTCGCAAATTGCGCGCTGCACTTACCGGGATGGTATCCGGCTGATCCCAGTACTGTGGCTCGCCCCGGAACAACTCGGACTTGCATGAAGACAGGCTGGAAGCAGGCACTTGGTCAGTTCGTCAATTTCACAACCTGACACGCTCCGGTGAAGGGGCCACTAGTCAAGCGATGACGCAAAATGAATTCGCTCTCACGCGTGGACATCATTACCACGCTTGGTCTGCAGGCATGCATTATTTCATACTCTCACATCTATACACGTATCCATTCCTATGAATGTACATTATCAGTCAAAATGTATACGCATGGATGTGTCTATACCCGTTGGTCGAGCCATGGAGTTCATCCTTTCTATGAAAAGCGCTCCGGCTGCTGCCACCACGCGGCGATCTGGGTTTGGTTTACCTCTTGTGGCAGACTTTTTTTGGGCGCATGCCAAAGGACTCGAATTCTAAGCGACCAACCTCAAAGTCGCACACGTGCAACTGAGCATACATATATACATAGAGCAAAGGCAAAGACCGTAATTAAACCGGAAACCCCAAGAACCCCCTGTGACACCGCTAATAGTACCCTCAGTGCTGCCTTCTGGCACCTGTTGCCTTAAAGCATCCTAATTGTACCCCTTATTCTGACTTGTCGGGTATCATGGGGAACTTAAGGTTAACCTTTTGGGTTTATATAGGGGTTACATAGGGATATACTACCCGAAAANNAGCACGTCGGGTCATGAGCGCGGTCCGTTACCTACTCTACTACTAGGTATTGCGCCCGTAAGATGACAAGTCACACGGCTCTTCGGGCCTCGGGGTCGTTCGATTTGCAGCCCTGGGCCAGAATCTGCTGTTGGAGGTCTCCCTCCTCGTTCTGCATCTCCTTTTCAAGCAAGGCTTTTAGTGTGCTTTAGGGTTTAGGGCTTCGACTTGGGGGGGGTTTGGGGGGGTTTCGTGTTAGTACGGCTTGCAGGGCTCATGGAATGTTTACACGGTCTGCGGTGTCGTCCGGCGGTTAAGAGTCTACGGGCTTGAGACTCACACGCGGACCGTCCGGACGAGGCTTGGCACGACGGTCAGACAAGCAAGAACTGAGTGCGGATCCCAAACCACAAAAAAATCCTACCAGTAATACTAACTTCCACCGAAACCAATCATTTCCACAACTCCCCTGGAGCCAAGTGTTCGAATTAAGCTGGACGCTGAGATCCAAGCGGCACTTCAGGAGGCAAAGGCTTCAGGTTTAGGTAGCCTCTGGAACTGACGCTGAGCTACATAACTGGCCTGGATGAGCAGCGAAGATCTCGAGTTCTGCTGTATTGCATCTGGCGTTCTCAGCGGGCTTGACGCACCTTCCATGCACCGGTGCTTCCATGACCCAAACATATCTGGACCCAATTGGGCAAGACCCTATAGAAATGCTCGGGTTACATTCTTTTTGCGTGTGCGTGTAGCAATGTACATCTGGCAGAATGCACAAGGCTGAAGGCTGTATAACAGTCTCAGGCCATGCGGCTTATTGCAAGCACTTTGATGTGCAGATAATGAACTGAATGAACACAAGCACGACAGTAAGGTGTACCACTAGGAGGTCCCTCGTCCACGTCCTCCCCGTCCAGACTGGCCCTTGCCACGTCCGGCTCCGCCACCTTTGCCTCTGCCGCCCTTGCCACCGCCGTCTCCTCGCCCACGGCCTCCGCCTCCGCCTCCGCCGCGTCCATCCTTACCACCGCCCTTCCTTCGCTCCCAGAAGCGCTGCTTTGACTCCTTGAGCCTCTGGTTCGCCTCGTAGATATCCGTTTCGGCCTCAAGAAGCTCCGGCAGTTCCCGGGCCACTGTGATAGTGTTGCCCTTCCAGAGAGTAGCCTCCAGAATCATGGGCACGATGTGATCCGGAGCGTCGAAGATGCACATCTTCTCATCCTTGCATCGCTTGCATCCACGGCAAGCTTCTGCCACCTCTCGAGGTAGCATCTGCCGGAGGAGATACCATCCCTTGGAATCAGTCTCGATGATTCGCTCAGACTGCAAGAGAAGGGCCGTCTGACCCTCATAGGACGAAAGAAGCGAGCGGCCCTTGAGTTCGCGGAAATGGCCGGTGAGTGCTGCCATCGACGCTGCCAACACAACTTCGGCGCCACGTTCTTCTATCAACTCTCGGGCCTTGTCTGTAAATGCCTCCACACTGGCCTGATGGACAGTGTCGAGTTGACGCACGGCATCCTCCGCAGCGGCGGCCACTACATCTCTGGCTTGGGGTGGCCCCACCCGTTGCATCTTGATCCCCTTCTTGTGTTCAATGAGCTTGATGAGATACTCCTCATTCCTTGAATAGAAAGTCACAGAGGTACCTTTCCTGCCTGCTCGGCCAGTACGGCCTGAGCGGTGCACGTAAGCCTCGAAGTCTTGAGGGGGCCGCGTCTGAACAACCAAATCCACAGCAGGGACATCTATGCCTCTCGCAGCCACATCCGTAGCCACTAGACATCGGATTTTGCCCGATCGAAATCCATCCATCGTCTTCTCACGGGCATGTTGAGGGATATCACCATGTAAAACACCGGCACCAATGGCTTGTAGCTTGTCATTTCCAGCAAGCTCGTCGCATTCCTTCTTGGTGTTCACGAAGACAATCGTCTTCCCGAATGCTCCGGCATGGATCTTGCAAAGGTCACCGATGCAGTCACCCTTCAGAGCAGGCGCACACTGCACGCATTGATGCTTGATCAAGCTGTTGGTTTTGTTGCCCTGTGGATCGTTTGCTACATCAATCCATGTGGGGGTGGTCAAATGCTTCTCAACGATGGCATTCACCCATGTTGGCAGTGTCGCCGAAAAGAGCAGCTTCTGACAACCCGTCTTGGGCAATGCATCCAAAATCGCATCTATGTCTTCCTGAAAGCCCATCGACAACATCTCGTCTGCTTCATCCAGTATCAACGTCTTGCAATTTGACAAGCTGACGCTGCTGCGGCGAACGTGGTCGAGCAGCCGTCCAGGTGTGCAAACAAGCACATGGACGCCGTTGCGGAGATCCTCGCACTGTGGCCCGAAAGGCGTTCCTTGGTGCGAGTTGACACCTCTCAGAGCTACCTGAGTCTGGAAAGAACTGTCCCCGAATGAACCCCGAAGCGATACGAAAGTCTTTTAGGAGCTTAGGATGGTCACTTAGCTGGCAAGCATCCGCCGTAGAAGCACTTCACAACGAGGCCGGATGCTTTGCCCAACAGCTCAAAGTCATTAAAGATCTGTCTAGCAAGCTCACGGGTTGGTGCGATAGTTGTGCACAAAGGTGCCTTCTTGCAAGCTGACTTGGAGAAGTCACGAAGCCGTTCCACGACCGGCAACACGAATGCCAAAGTCTTGCCACATCCGGTTTTGGCACGACCAACCACATCTAGACCTTTGAAGCATGGGCTGAAAGCCTTCTGCTGAATCTCGAACAACATCGTGATGCTTTTTGTGAGCAGTGCCGCACGACTTGCTTCTGATATATCTTTGATATCAGAAACTTGACAGACAGCAAGGGATGATGGCGAGTCCTGGCCGTCCGCTGGTGCCTTCTTCTTTTTCGCGGCAGGTTTCGGATCTTCCGCATGGATGTCGTCGTCATGTTTCCTCTTCTTCGGGTGGGATTTGGGACCGATCTTCGGAGATGCTTTGGGCTTCAAGGTCGGCGAAGTCTTGGCCGACAACTTGGGCGAGGATGGCGGCTTCTTCTTCTTGTTCTTGGCATCTTTGGGCGGCATGGCTTTCGAAGCTGAAACTGTGACGCCCACCACTACCACCCGTTGTCCTAATCTGCCCCTTCCAAGTTCTAACAGCATGGCCACCACTGATCGAAAATGAATGCTGTCTTCTCAAACTTGAGCCAAATATCTGATGACCCTGTGGCTGGCGCTCGTTCACTGGACTCGATAAACTACCCTAGACTGGCTGAACCTACGGGTGCCTGTTGGTCCTGCAAAAAGCCCGGCAAGCCTTGTATCGACGGCATTGAAGACATCTGCACCTGAATGTTCGCAACATCCCTCGTGTTCACTCCGTTCAGATACTCTAAGGCTTGCACATTTGACACCATGCGAACGGCCATTTCTCACCACCATAGGCGTAATTATGAACAAGACGCCTGTCTGGGGACCTCGTATCGCTCTCGTGCTTTGCATCCGGCGATTATGTCGCTAAGCCACACAAGGGGGCACAGTGGTCACGAACATCTTGTGTGGACTATTCTTTCTGAATGATCCAGCATGACGCGAGCTTGAACCGATGAGCGGTAATCGTTTAGAGACAGCGGAGAACGTCTGTCACAGTGTGAAGCCCTGGGCGGCTGCCATGCGCACGCAGTCAAACCCCAGATGTAAGCCACTGTGCGAGAGAAATCGGACCGCGCACTGCAGAATGCTGCAAATGGGCTTGGAGGAAAGCGGCTGCGCTTTGCGAACCGCTGCACGTGGAGGCCGTAGTAGGGACACTAGTGCTAAGACAACTAGTAGCTGTTGTCGCAGATAAGACCAAAACCACTAGCACGAGCTGGTAACGGGAGAAACAGCCAACGACAAGCCCTGCCAAATTTTGCCTGTTTCTTTGTCACCCAGGGCAGCCATCACTCAGTCGAGTGCACTCGTCTACCTGGTGTCTTGTTGCGCTCCACCGAACCCTTAACTCGGATAGACTCGGATCAAATGATTGCATGCTACTGTTGCAAAGGCATTCATTAGGCCTAGAGCCCAGAATGATGCAGCACGGAATATAGGGGAGTTCGGGACTGCCCTTCGATATCAATCGCTGCAAGACGAAACAGTAATGCATTGAAAGGTGTTTTTTAGCCACCCTGAGCGCGCTTCGTCGGCATGCCTCAGCTTCCGGTACTTGTTGCGCTTCCGCAGGATGGGATGGCCTGTGGCCTGCTGTCTCGAATCAAGGCTACTGCGCAGCTCAAGGGTGACCACAGAGACAAACGCTGAAACGAAACACAACTGAATGGATGTTGAGTACGAGGTGGCTGGACTGCGACTACTAGGTGCTCTTTGATTGCTTCGGGTCTACATGTCTACACTGGCATGTTTAGGTTCAGGGCTTCAGAAAAGGTTGCCGCGGGAGCGGCGTTTCTGAAAACCTGTTCTGCTCGTTTGTGCGGTTGTCTGGTGGCAAGTGTCTTGAATCAATCAGTTTCAGTTGAGTGTTGAGTTGTGCGTGCAAGTTAATTGGTGGTCGTTTTCTGCGTTTGTCGTTGGACGGTCGCTCGCAGGTGCTTTTTCGAACACTAACTGAATGGCTGCAGGGCATGTTGGCTTGAGAGTCTGCGTAATCTTCTGCGCCAATTCCTGTCACATTGCGGAAAGTCACGACACCCCCCCCCACCCCCGCCCCCTACCACACCAAAATAGCAGACTATCGCGTAAAGTTTACACTTTGTAACCGGGTTTCTTCTAAAAACACCCGCCAGCTGTGTTTATCAACCAAATGAGCTGCTTATGAGCACATGGGTTGCTGACCAAAGTGCGTATGTGCCCGTGTGCGTTTCGGCCGTGCTTCACTTCAGAAACACCGTAGCTACACATAGATCAAGGGTTCAGGCTTCTCAAAACAATGGGTTTGTGGGGGGATTGCGCACCAAACCTTCTGGCAAGGAGACACGCACGTAGGATATGTAAGCATTCCCCGCTCGCGTCACGTCTGAAATTTCTTTATAGTGAGGTTTAATGCGGCGTCGCTCAACTCTAGATTGACAAGCCATGACACATGTGTCCGATGTGCTTCCAGGCTTCGGCTATGTGCTATCGCCAGCCTGGCATCTTGCTTCTTGGGGATTGAGGCTTCAGTGCACGACATGAAAGGCGTGACCTATGCTCGTAAGGGTGCATGTGGACAGTCTCCGGCTTGGAACCTTGTCATGACTCTCGTCTCAAAGTCACCTGGGCGGCTTCCGAGTTCGTGCCCCGGGAACCACGAGCCCAAATTTATCCACAAAGTCACAAAAGCTCGAGTGTGTTTGTCGCAAGGACGAGCACGCATGACAAGGTACTTTGACTCGGACATGTCGGACACAGCTCTCACCCTTTAGCAGTGTTGTGTCCGCTTTCAGCCCGTCGGAGGCACGCCCTCGCACACTTTCAGAACGTCTTCACTGCGAGGCCGCGGCAGTGCTGAACATCGGTTGGAGTTCGAACTGACCCTGGCCAGAACCAGAAAACATGACACGCTTGCTATGACACATTTGCCTCCTACACCCTTATCTACGCTATACTCAGTGCTCAACTGCAATCCCAGTCGTAGTTGGTACACCTGCCGCATCACCTGCCCCCTGCGAAACCCAATAGAAGGCGACCGGAACCAGCTTGAAAGGCTGATGTCAACTGCAGCTCTTGCACTTCACGTGAGCTGCTAGGGGCGCAGCTGATTGGCGGGCCGGGCCTGTGAGACTGCTGGCATTCACCAGGCGACATGGGCCTGGGCCCATGTCCAACTCAATCATGCTCAAAGTGCAACTGAAGTAGACAACAGCGCCTTGAGCAAGCCCTAGCAAAGACGCCCCACAAACCCTCGGCTTGCGTGCTACGTTTGCACGGACACATACTTCAAGGCCCCTGACTTGAATTCACGCTCCTAGTCTCAGAAGCCTCGGCATTCAAGTGTTGAGCCGAAAACTGGGCAAGTGCTAACGAGGCCGTGGGTGACTACTTTCCAACATGAATGCTGCCAACACTACATGCGGTGGATTGGCCTCACATGATTCCACAATGGATTCTTACAAGATGGACAAGAAGAAGACTTCATGAATGTTTCCTGTGAGCCCAATTCCAGCATGAAATTCACAGCCAACCAACTTCCTTTGGAACATGCTCCAGCTGTCGCTACAGTTTAATTGTGCGAAACATACCGGGCTAAACCTGCCACCGCTCAAACTCAAAGGAACTAAATTCAGGCCACGGAGCATGCATCCCAAATGGCCACGACGAAGCATGGCAGAGGAGAAGCTAACCCTCACGTTATCGAGTTTAGCAGGCGTCTGCATGGCATTGAATACTGTCCACAAGCTCTCTGATAAAGCAACGTCGGGACCCGCTTCTCTGCAAGCTTCGAACACTGTGCAACACGATGGCAGGTCGGGACATGACCACAGGAAGCCTTGCTCGAATCTGCGGGTTCGAAAGACTACGCAAGCTTGCACCCTTTACGCTTTGTCATGAGTACCAAGGTTACCAAGACTACAAGCACAGCCTGAATCGAGACTTGAATTGCAAGAAATCGACACAACCCATATACATGACAAAACCCCGCACTGCAAGCTTTTTCAACTCAGTGCGCGCTCGTGTGCGCCAATCCACCTTCCAGGAAAGGGCACTACCTGGCGAGGTGACACCGGCAACAGCATTGACAGCCACAATAAAACCATAAGAGGCGGTGACAACAGATCTAAGATGAACGGAGAAACGTCATGGTCGACTTGCTTTAAGCCCTCCGTGTACCGAAGGACAAATCTCGCTTCTTGCATAGACGCGCGCAGACGTTACAATGTCGTTTCTGCCAGGTCTCCAAAAGGAGCCGGAGAAAATGAAAGCCGGGGTGCATCCCCAAATTGTTGTGGCACTGCACCCGTTCAGTGCACCAGTTCGGATGCCACGAAGCTGTCCGCAAAGTCTCGTTGTACGCGACTTTTGACCGCGCCAGTCTCAAGGAAACATCCAAGCACGTTTGGGTGCACCAGCTTGGACGCAACGAAGCTGTCACGAAAATATTCTCGCGGTACTGACCTCATCTGGGTGGCTGTCGCGCAGTGAAACAGTAACGACAATCATGGGGTAGAAAACCTCTTTGGGTGCAACATTTGGCTTGCAACGAAACCGTCCAGGAAGACATGGTCACAGCTCGTGTGGCCAGGCGACTCGAATCGACTCGACATGTCTCTGCTGCAATCAGAATCAGCTCATAAAAGTGTCACAAAAGGCAACTGAGACTGAGGGCCCAGCACGAGGAGGTGGCGAAATTGTCAAGTTCCACTCCACCCCCCTCGTATGGAACGAAAGAGGGAAGGCTGTCTTCGACTTCGCCGTCCAGAATGGGTTTCACCGGCAAGGGCACCTTGATTCCACACAAATTCATGTCACATGTCTGACCGCTGGACCTGCTTTTTTCGGAAACACTACTCGTAGCTGGCTCGCTCTGTGTAAGCCTCACGCATACGGAGGTGGCATAGACAGATTTTCCATGTCCCTCCACGCGAAGCCCGCGAAAAAGGAGTGCGAGCGAATATTGTCGATGCCTCACCAGACATAATGATCAAGCAGGGCAAGATAGAGCAACGAGCACCGTCTGTCAACGGCCAACCCCGGAACACTGACCCTATCACGCCTCCGTTCCTCACTGGCGCTCGGTCCTCTGGTATGTCTACGCAGAGGCGCCGCACCTATGCTCACAACAAAACAGACGGTGTCAGATGGCGTCAGACGCGCGAGCTCAATCTGGAAAAAGTCTTCGGACACTGGTGCTGAGAGCCACTGCTGAGCTCTGGACCAAGTCCTGAAAGGCATCGTCGGCTCGGCCTTTCTGGACAATCGGCCGCCTCTTTGAGAAAGTGGTGATCGTACCAAAGAGCTTGTTGCCGCGAATTAAAGGAGAGGATGGCAATGCAGAGCGGCTTGTGCTCTTCAGCAAAGGCCGCCAGCGCGTGATCATGGCCGCTGCCATCCCACATCTCCGGGGCCATGTAACTAGACGTGCCGCACTTCGTGTATGTTTTGCCTCA